AAAGTCTACAAACATGACACGACTTATTATTGAGTATTATATACATATTTATAAAGAACAAATAAGACAATCCCGAAACAATTTCTTAAAATACAATGAAAATCATGGAACTTAAATAATTGTAAGAGATGACATTTTCTAAAATAATACTAATGTTCGATTAAATTATAAATTATAGATTCAATGAATGATTTAACTCGAAAGATCCATTTGTGATTCGTAGGCAAATAAAGACAAGTTTTTAATTTATTAATCGGTGCAATTATTTAAATAATTTGAGTTCTAAACAACACCGTATAAATACGTAGTATGAAATAAATATTATCTTTATCTTACAATAAATATTATTACAGATTTAGGTTATAATGTATGTTTGGTTGCCTATCGTTCCGGCTCTCCGATTATAATATATTGTATAATATGTATATAGTGCAAACGACGAGTTCTTTCAATTTTTATACATTAATATTTTAATACTGTAATACTACTAAAGTATTCTTAAAATTTAAAAATATATAATTGAGATGATTTGAGCTAAAATATAATTATAATTAAAAATATCAATGTTATACCTATATAATTTATAGGTAGGCTATATACTTCGTACATAATATTAAATTTCTGTTTACGACGAATTAGTAGTGTTCAATGAATAAAAACTGTAGAAACTAGTGTATAGACCATAAACTATTTAAAAAACAAAAATTCTTCATAATAGGTTTCGAAACTGCATATTTAAAATATATGGTATGGAATTCTATTAAAACGTTTCGCAATACTAGTCGTGACTGTCTGTAAATTCAGGTAAAAATTAGTATAAAATATGATGTAGGATGTACCACTATTATAATTTCTACACATACCTATATCGAAATTTAATATCTAAAAAATGTTTTTAAGTTCGTTTTTACGTTTAATTTAATAATTATAAATAAAAATTATTATTTTTATTTTTATTTTTTGTAATATATTTTATATATATAAAATATTTAGTACCTATGTAGAAAATAATGTTTGTTTTATGCTTGATTATAAATTCACACGTATTTAAAGGTCAAATTATATAAGTCTAAAGGACGTAATCTTGTATAGAAGTGACAAACAACAAACCTATATATTATTGTATTTTCTTTTTAAGGGGATCGGTGACAAATGTTATTGTAGTCAAAACATAACAATCTTTTGTCCATCATACTGATCGGCCTAGTGATGCAATAATACTTTTTAAAACTGATTTGAATTCTTTATTATATCTACTTGAGATCAGTCAGTTCACTTTTCTCAATTTCACCCTCCCTCCCACACAACAACTATAATTTAATTTGAATATTTTGAACTTTCTGAATTTTCTACGTTGATTATTCGGAATTTAATTCGGAATTCTGAAAATGTGAACTGACCGATCTCGAGTAGATATTATAATTAATTCAAATCAATTTTCAGAGATATTATCGTATTATTTGGTTGATGGTAGGATGGACAAAAAGTACATAGTTGTAGTCAAATATAATAGATTAAACTATATTTATGGATACTAATATTTTATATAACTGTCTTTTAAATCTTTAAATTACGTCATTTTAATTTAACTTAATTAGTTATAAATAATTACCATATGTTACAATATAAAATATAATAAAAATACCTAATGTAAAATTTAAAATTTATAAAATAAAGCACTAATCAAAATCAATAATGTGATTATCACATTAAAGATAAGGTAATAATTGTTATGGATCATACGATGGAAATCTTAACTTAGGTGACATAATACGTAGCTACTGTTATAGTGAAGGAAGAAATAATATTATGGCAATAATTATTTAGTCTTCATATAATAAATTAAGAATTTCGGATAGAAAAGTTTAATAAAGTAAATGATTATATAAATGCTAGACATAAATTATACAATAAATAAAATATTATTAAAAATAATTCTTGATAAAATTATCAGATTAATTGCTAAAACTTTTTTTACTTTTTAATAAAATGTTCTCTGAAGGATAGCCCCTGGAACCACATTTTCAGCTAAAATTATGGGTTTAATTATACAGATAAATTTGTTTATCAGTCAGGAAATGGAAAGGAATTTAGTGTATGTATAATAGGTGATTTATTGAGACATAATTATTTACATGAGTATAAATACTTGTTTGTAAGCTGTAAAAATCGATAAAGCCACACAACTTCAAAAACCGCTGTATGGAAAAGTATTGGGCGTCGTTCCATGGTGTGGCTACGAACGGTAAGTGTGCGGTAATGATGACCACCGAAAGTATTAAGTAAATTACTACAATAAATAATTGTTTAGTTCTTAATGATAACAAAACTGATGTTCTTATAAATATTATGTTCCATGTGAATTTTACCATTTTCTCCTCCAATTTCCTACTGGAAATGATTTAAAAAATAAAATGTCAGTCTTCAAGTGTATACCATCTGTGACCAATTTCAAATCTTGTTGATAGTTAATAAAGCTACAATTAGTGTGCGTTTTGGATTGCTTATAGGTATTATCCCCAAAAAATGTAAGTGCACATACATAGATATGAAAAAGAACGTGTAATTTTTTTTTTTTAAATACAACATTGTAAAACCATTAAATTAAATTAAATCATGAAAAATAACATGCAGTCAAGGTCACGTTCTTTAAAGAACGATTTTTAAGAACACGTCTTATCGACTAGATCTCTATAATTCACATAGGTATGTTATGTTTCCTTATTAAAATAAAAAAATATCGGTTTACAATAAAATGTTCATTATTTTATTCTTTGTAATAACAAGTATATCAAACGGTCGAATTTAGTGCATGTAAAATATAGATACTCGCCTTTGATTAAATATTTGCATATTTAATCAAAAAGCACTGACGGAAATTATAATCTCACTGACATTTAATTACATGATGTAATACATTAATTATCAAATGATATATATTATTGCGATATTTCAATGCAAAATACCTACATCGTTGATTAAATTATTTAGAAAACGTAAATTGGTTTACGCTTGATTCATAAATAAATGTACACATAATATACATAGAGTATTGATTTAATACAATTTTCAATAAAATTAGTAGATTAGAAATACAGTTTTAAAAATTTTTTAGAAAAAAAAAATATAAAAATAATGCATCATTATAAAACGATTAGCTTATTCACTTCGCACAAAAATTCAAACTATGGTAGCTGTACATAATAAATAATATAATTTTAAAATATAAATGTATACTGTTTATAAAATTAAGATTTAAACACTAAACACCATTAACTCTACACAATATTATTATGTTGTAAAAACATAAGTACAATATTAGACATTCATGGTTTTTGTCAATTCATTACTCAATTATAATCTATTAGTGAATAACTATTGTGAATTATAAAGCTATTGTAAAATATAATTTATAAATAAACAATTCAATGTATAGTTATGTATATCTCAAGGTATAGCATAAGTATCTACCTAGCCATTTAAACAAGTATAAAATAATTTTTATGGTTATTTAATTCGTATATTATATGCGTACTTTATAATAGTAATCCGATAAATAATAATACCTAATCGTATAAGGTGCTTGTCAAATAAATATTGTTTTAATTTAACATGTTAACAGTATGCTTACAGAATGAAAATAGCCAATTAAAATTTATGTTTTTTAAACTGACAATAACCGAATGGTTGAATTACTTATAGAGTACTTAATGGTACGAATATGATACCTATGTCTTAGTGCATCAACTATGTTGAAATTATTAATGTAGGAGTTTAGTATTGTGAAATCATAATATGTAAATATAGCAATACATTTTATAGCCATTAATAAACAGTTCCTACTTAATAACATGGAACTGTTATTACACAAAATTATACTCAATATAACTATATAGACCATAATAATATTTAATTAACTATGTATTATTTGTATAATTCCGTTTTAGTTGTTTAAATGTATCCGTCTCGTTATGAATTTATATACTTATAAAGGTTACCTTGCTGTGTATGTTGTACAGCGGCATAATAAATTATAATCGTTTCGCACCTACATTTTATTAATGTTAAGGACACGCGTGTGGTTATGCATACAAGGCGTCTCGTTGAGTATTCCAACACAGCGATCACATAATAAGCTACGACAGGTGAGTGTTTATAATTTTACATCGACAAAGATAATTTACAATGTCGGCATAAAGAAATAAAGAATACGTCTTCGGTGAAGTTGGTCGTAGAAGATAAATTCGGGTCGAGTGTACTGATATAAAAGATTTAAACGCGAAAAAAATAACCATTGCAAACGGAGTGAAAATAAAAAAAGCCAAACTGCTACGTACAATAATAAAATTAATAATGTCATATTATTGTAAGGAATATTATTTATTATTAACAAACTAAGTGTTAATATTATTTATTATTATTACGATCATAGACTCGCGTGCGCGCGGGCCAGAAGAAAACGAAATAAGAAACGAGATCGGTCGTATGCCGCGAGAGTGCGCATTTGACGGCGGCACACACGAGACCTGCGCGGTCGTCGATTGGCTGTCGTGACGGAGGGAACAAGTACCGGGCGACGTGGACGGGGGGCGACGCCACCGGCCCGCGCGCCGTGCCCGACCCGTTTCTAGAGCCGGCCACCACGGCCGCCGCCGCCGATGCGCGTGTGCACGCCGGTTCGCGCGCGCGCGCCCGTGTAAGTATTGCCGTGTGGTCGTGTGCGCGCGCGTGTGTGTGTGCGAGAGAATGTGTGCGCGCGCGTCCAGAGAGAGGTAACGCGACGACTGCAACGCGGACGACGACTGCGACGAGACGACGACGGTCGACTGGGCCACGCCAATACCCTCCGCGCGCCGCCCGGGTCATAAACGATCTCACAAACAAGTGCTCAACGTTCGGGAAATTACCCGCTCCGCCATATAATATTATATCGCCAAAGGCCGCCGCCGTCGTCAGTGATCGCGTCGCCGCCGCCGCTGCGCGGGTTCTTTTTATTTTTCCGCTGCTTTAACACGCGGTTTGAAAATATTGTTTTAATATTATCTTCCCGTTGGTTTAATTTTTTTTTTATTTACTCTCGTCGTCAATCCGCGGTTTTAATCCACACGCATTCCCGTGTCGGTCGTGCAGTGCCGTTCAGTGTCCGTACGATCGTCCGCAATATTTTCGGGTTTTGAATATATACGTGTATATGTAAATATATATATAATATATATATATATATACAATTAAAAATACATCGACAATTTTTTAAAATTTTTTTAAACGCCGTGCGTTAACGTTTAACGACGACGATATACAATCCGCATCGGCATACGACAGCATAATGCGGTGGCGTTGACGGACTCTCGCACTCATCCATAATATTTCTGGCGACCACAAAATAAGGACGTGTACCTATTGTAAGACCGTGCAACACCACATAAACACTATACGGACGTGCGGCCAATAATCGCACCGCTGTGTAATAACCCTGTCTCCGGTCGCAACTTTCGCGCCCGTCATGAGTTCAAAGTTCATCATCGACAGCATGTTGCCCAAGTACCATCAACAGTACCACCATCAGCTCTTGAACCCCGTGATCACGTCCGGCGGCGGGCTTGACTCTTCGGCCGTCAACTACAGCTTGACGCCCAACAACTCGTCGTCGAGCAGCGCGGGCGGCTCGCCGCCGTCCACGTCGTCGCTGGTCTCGCCGGCCGCCGGCCGCATGTACCCCGCGTACGCCGTCCACCATCACCAACAGCAGTTCGGCTCGGGGGCCGGTTCCATGGCGTTCACGTCGCCGGGCTCGGCCGCCCTGGCCGCCGCCGTCCAGGACGCCGCGGACAAGACGTCGTCGTCGTGCCGGTACGGCGGTGGCGTCGGCGGCGTGAGCGTCGGCGGCGTGTCTGCGGCCGACACGATGGTCAACAGCTACGCCGCTCTGCACCATCACCACAACCAGAACGGCGCCGGCGGCACCGGAGCCGTGTCGTCCATGGCCGCGGCCGCTCAGTTCTATCACCAGGCGGCCGCCGCGTCCGCCGTGGCCGCCGACCCCCTCAACACCGCGTGCGGCGGACAGCCCGGCGCCCCCGGACCGCAACCCATGCCCGACATACCTCGGTATCCGTGGATGTCCATTACAGGTAAGCGCGACTTTGCTGTTATTCGCCTAAATTGTGTCTCGTGTCGTACATCGTTTGTCGCCGTAGAAAACCTGTTGAGCGCGCAGAATTGCTGTTGGGTCATATTATGCCGTTCTGCTGTAGATTATTGTGTTTAAACACTCCTCCGACCCCGTTCGTAATTTCTGATATTATGCTAAAATCCCGAAATATGTACGCCATACCACGGTATGGAGACGGTAACGTAGGTTATGTAATATTGTATACAATAATGAATATATCGTACTGTATACCTGATCAGGGTATTTTAATTTGCTAGAGCATAAAAAATAGGTTTTTCGTTCTGTCGCGTATATTTTTACGATTCCGAACTCGCTGCTTTTAATGACTTTTCAACGAATCCGTAACGCGTTGGCAGATCGTTGACATCGCGAATTTCTTGTTTAATCTGCTTTACCATTATTCTCGCCTAATTATTTAGATTTACGGTAATGAAATATATTATTGTATAGTTTGATATTCCAATTACTTTTTAATTTATAATGTTTAAATTGTTTTAAATGTTCCATATAATTACATCATGTATACGCTCGTAACTAACTAAAATTATGTTTTAACTTGTGTGATACTGTGGTAGGTAAACTAATACATTGCCTAAATCAAATATCAATATTAAAAGTGTATCTATACATAAAATAATATAATTTAATACAACAATAAAAACGTAAAAATAAGTCTATACCTTTGTTGATAGGAATTAATTTTTCTTTATTTTATTATACGTAGTCTTCAAGTTGGTAGTTCAAATATGTGTTTATATTTATAAAACTAGGTTAAATAGAACACATGCTTGTTTAGTAATAGTCTTAATTTTGTATAATGTGTTATAATAGATACTTGTATAATTTAATAAGCGCCTAACTGTTTTAATAAACATATCCTTTATTTTATTCATAAATGTTTTCTGATTGGACGTAACGTTTCATATTTTGATAAAATTACATTAGGTAGTTAATTTATTATTTAAACTACGGAAATGATATTAAATGAACAATTTAATATATTTATGCCACCAAATAATATTATTTAAATATATTAATGTCACCATCATAAAGTAAAGACCATTAAAATTTAATTATCCTATAAATTATATGTAAATAAGCAGTAAACATACAAACTTAATTATGTGTACAGCAATTACAGTTATAATTTATACTAATATAAATTAAATATTAGTTATAGTATAATGTATATATATTTTACTAAATTATACACTTACAAACAAATTATTTATTTATCATTACTAAGACAATAAAAGTGTTTAAAATATGTTTAATTGTTTTTATTTGCAGTAAATATAAAAAGGTATTTAAAGTTTGCATTTTGTACAAAACTGTATGACTTATAGCTGAGTAACCTATTCTAACAAAAAATTGATTATACATTTATACAGTAAACACGAAAAAAATTAAATTAATCTTTATATCTAACATTTAGTCGACACTTGTCAAAAAAATTTGCAAATATATTAAATTCAACTAGTGCCAATAAGTCGTGTGAATGTGTTGATGGCATTATATAAATAATATACTTGAATGATATGCATATTTTTTTGGAATTCAACCAATTTATTATTGCCTAAATCTAATACTATCCATTACGCACGCACCCGCATCTCATTCTAATACAAACCGCCTATTACTTACTACTACCCACACTAACTCGTATATTATTTTATTAGACTATTATTTCATTACATATTTAAATTAATTGACTAGAATGTTAAAATAATATATTTTTTAATAGTATTAGGTCATATTTTATATTCTTTTATATTTTCAAAAGTTTGCTACTTTTTTTTGTTGAAATTATAAAATATTAACCACTTAAAACATAATATTATTTACAATTAATAACTATAATTCCTAAAATTATCTGACAAACGGTTAAATAAGGTTTAAATATAATACATATATAAATATTCTAAACAAAAATACCACATGTTCACATGAACTCCTGTTTTGTGATCAATTAAATTAAAAACATTTGGATTACTGTGAATATCGTTTAATCAGTAATTAACTATTAAACCTAATCTATTGTAAAATTATAATTATAGACATTATAATAGTCTTAATATTTTTATATTAACTTTTCGTTTAAGAATAGAGAATTTACTTCAAGCGACGCTGATAGATTTAGTATAAAAATCAATGATTTTTTTAATTATACCAAATTTTTATTTAATTTTGGCGATTGGGTATGTTAAGTTCCTACTAATAATTACAATTTATTAGAACAATGATATGCTTTACATTCATCTGTGCAGGCGTTTATTAAAATTTTAATTATTCTAATCAAATAATAAATAATAGTATATTAATATTATAATATCTAAATTAAAGCTAAAAAAAATATTTATAAATGAGAAACTACTGTATACAGTGTAGTTATAGTTACAATTATAAACATATTAATGATAATATCGAGAGAAATATAAAATAGTGACAGCCGACTGAGTATCCAAATACTTAATATGAAATTAAACGTCCATTTTGATACTGATCTGACAAAATCTGTTAATTTGGATAAAAATATAGAAAAAATAAGCAGAACGTAATGAAAATGGTGTATTATAGGACTTTCACGAATTTATAATAAATAACCAACATAGAAATTAAATTGGTAATACTATCTATAAATCGACTATACAATTCATTTTGAAAGTTGTGTACTGAGAATTCATTTTCATATAGATATTATATCTTAAATTGTCAATGATACCATTATAGGTATACGTAATTTAATTATATCTGTTTAAATTGATTTTACAATTTTGCGAATTTTGTGCTTTGATGTTCATATAGTAATAATGAAGTAAATATACTAAACGGTAGATATTTTAAAATATACCTACGTTAGTTGTTCAATTTTAAAAATAAAGTGTTATCTAAACTAATGAGCAATAAATTATGAATTTATCTTTGGGTGGTTGACCAGTGTTCAGGAGGGGGAATTAGCGCGTCATGTGGATTTATACAGGTTTAGTTTGCCCTTGTTGCAATCTTTAGAATAACTAATTAGTAATTAGTTACTCATCTCTGATGACTACTGTATAATTATCGTTGCTTAAATCCATTACAATCGCTTTAATTTAGTATGGTCTTAATATTAATCAATGAATAATCATATAATTTCCTGTGATAATTTACATCAGTAAATAGCCACACAAATATCATAAGTATATCTATGTACTAATTCTCAACTGGTGTATGTTTTAAACGTTAATAATCGTTTGTTTAAAAATATTTTTTGCGCGTACAAGGCCCCACGAATATTTAAAAAAAATTATATTTTTATTCACTCGCACGCTAGTTTGTCGACGAACGGCCATTTGCATAATTATTGAACAATAGACTACGAGCTGGTACTAGTAGGCGGGCGGGTACGGCCCATCGCTTATAATATGATACCTCTGAGAAGATCATCGAGCCGCTAAAACCGGTTTATGTACATACTGAATTTTCGCATTAAATATAAAAAAGAAAATGATTTAATATTGCCGTCTATTGAGCTTTTTAACGCCTTTTGAAATCGTCGTATACATTGTCGTACTGATGGATACAGTGGCTGTCGGTTTTAGAAAAAAGTACTAACGGTCAGCCCAATTTCCCGAATACTTATTAACTTACATACTGTTTAGAAGTATCCGAAAGGGTACACTGACCAGATACAATATAATTATACCTAGAACCGTTGAAACTTGTAATGGTGTATAGTTGGGGAACAGCTACCCTCGTGGGCAAATACTTTTACAGAGGGTTCTCTCACCCTCTATCGCTCGCCTCATCACTCTTTGCCGAGTTCTTTGCAAAGCATGGCCGTACTCGCATTTCCACTTGCACCAGGGCGCCAGACCTAGTATACGATATACTGATTGCATACACTACAATAATGATTTATATTTTTAACTAACTCGCTGGTATTGGCGATATTTTTTTTTGAAAATACTAAATTACTAAAAATTACTTGTAATGTACGGTAGTGATTTAAAAACAATCGGTCGCTCTTTACCGTTCAGAACAATTTCTAAAATTTTCCATAGATAGGTATTAGTTTTAATTGATTCAATGGTTATAATAGTTATATTATTCACTATACTCGGTGTATGATAGATTGTTGTTCAGATTTTTGTTGAGTGAAAATATGTAGAAAGTCCCAAAGGTCACAATTATTATGACGTACTATGTTGTTTACTAACTGAGTAATCAATACTTCATTTGTAGTGCGGACAATTCCGACTAGTTTGATGATCAATAAAATCCACACAATAATTAGCATATTAAAAATGTATAAATAATATTTAAATTTTCATGCTCTGCGTTAGCGCCGCGGTCACAAACACACAAAACTGATTGTCAATTAAAAATAAATAAATAGAAAAAAACTGTCAATTATACTGATGCGATAAAACCAAATTTATATATGTATTGATTAACACGACGCAGCTGATTCGACAGAATAATCAATGATAATACTCTCAAAAGCTTTTTCATGTCGTTCGCGCGATTTTGATTTTTAATGTGAAATTATTGTATAAACGAATATCTACGTTTTTTTTATTGGGATATAAATCGTTGTAAACTGTAGTTTACCTATATTTTTAGGAAAAAACCTTTAAGTATATCGAGCTCTTCCCAACAAACGCGTGTATGATGTAATAACGTTATATGTATGTAGTATGTACACATGATATCACGATATTATGTCCGTAATATGACTTAAAAATGTTTTATTTATTTATTTTTTTGTTTCAGATTGGATGAGTCCGTTCGACAGAGTTGTTTGTGGTGAGTACCAAACATATTATTTATTTGTTTATCTAAGTTTACACGTACTAACTACTAGCTATATTATTATTGTCTTTAAACGTATATAAGTCAATAAAACGATTTTATTTTCTCTAAAAATTTTATAATACACCATATGTATTTTCCCTTTTTGCCGCCATTTGTGAGCTATAAGAAGTTCCAAAAAAATGTTTATCTATATTGTGGTATTCGTGTATTTTCACCGTCGTATCGACGCGGTTTTCTTTCGTTTGTATACTTTGTATGAATATACAATTTTGTAATTATATAGTTTTGAGGTACCTACTTGAAAAGTTACCTCTGCGCGTAACACGTGCACACAGCCGCATCAAAGTCGTTGTATACGGGCTACATTAAGTATTTTATGGGCATACACTCGCGAGCTGGCCAGTTAATAGGTTTTTATTGGACAACAATAAACGTTATAACAGCGCGGTATATTATTTATGTATATAAGTATATATCACTCTCCTTCCCTCTACTCTCTTTTTCTCATTATTACTTCTCCGTCGCACATCGAGTGGTATAAATTATGATTTATCGTCGTGTACGTATGGTGTGGCTTGCACGTCGTTTGTGTATTGTACGGCCTACCGTCGTACGGACGGGGTTGGTTGACTCTTCATTACCCTTTTTTGTCGGCGTGAGATAATTTCACCCTTTTCCAGGTATATCTCTGGCTCCCCGCCATTATAATAATATAAAATATTATTTTAATAATTCGTAGCTTACCTGCACGTGTACACATCATATCATATTATATGATGCATGCCTACGACGTACACCGGTGGTGGCGGAGGTATTTACCAATGGCGACGCCCGGAACGTAGGTATATAATATATCGTAATGATAATACGAGCGAATGAATAATATAATAAATGCGAGTTAAAAGAATAAATGAAGAAACGGACTGTGGGCGCGCGTCCGTGATGGTGTAATGCGAAGAAACGACGAAAATCCTATTCATATCGCGTGAAAAAAAACCCTACGTGTTTAATCCTCTTCGTCCGAGTTTTATGCAAATCGCGATTGCTGTAGTGTCCATGGCGCGACGATCTATCGTCCTGATCGAAAATGGGGAGGGAGTGGTGGTGGGTTTGGATCTATTTACACCATGTGCTCATTAGCATACCGTAATGTAGGTACACTATATTATACGTACACTTTTCGCTCGTAGGGATATTTTATAATTTTACCGCATAGGTACGTCATGATAAGCATATTATATGAAGTCCGCGTGTCGCCATAACGCGCCTTGTCAACGCGCGTGGGACGCGTCCTATTCCATCGAAACGTTTAGTAGTAATGATGTCGGTATAGGTATAATAGTATAGGTGCTCGCGCCGTCGGTTTTGAATGAATAAAATATCAATAAATGTATTAATTTACACTGCCGCCTAACCCATTATTGTATATAACATACTATTATTGTTATTATAATAGCCGTGTGCGATATGCGAACTGTAAACGTTTCCGTTTGGAAATGTAGTATTTTATACACATCACGATCGTCGCCGACGCTGCAGGACACTGTGTTCTTCTACGCCTCTTAAAATAATAGTATAATATTTTGTAGTGGCCACTATATGTGTTTACGACGTTAATATATCGTCATTGTCATTCGTCGCATTCAGATAGGATTTTTTTCCCATTTTTGACGGACTGAAGAGAAAACGACGTTGTCGCGACCATTTGTTCTCGGAAGTAAACGCATTTTGGTTTTTTTAATCCTAGATAATTTATTATTTTTATTCGAAAGCTATACCGACTTGCTATCGCTCCTGTCACTTATTATTTATACGTGGTTTCACCCAAAACGGAACAATGATTTAGAAACGACGGAATTTTAGAATATTTATGCTTAGTGCTTACCCTATTGTAATATTATATCCGTAATATCAAACAGCATAATATTATTTAAGAAAACGTTTGCTGGCTGCAATGAAAATGGTAGAGGTATTATGTATCTATTATTTTAATAGACTCGTCGTTTCCTCTCTCGTGGCTGGCATAGCCCGCAGACGAACACAACAATGTCTTGACGACGAATGTTCATGATTTTTTTATTGTTCGTCAGTAATACATTAAAAACAATAGTCTCAGTGTAGTGGCGACTGTTCGTTATTTCAGTTGTAGCAACTAGGTACCGATATCATGCACAAGTCGTAATTTAAGAAGACAATAATATTGTCATCGATAATGTTTGTAAATTAATTTACTTCACGCACGCCAATATTACACGTCTCAAGGTCACCGCGGTGTATAATATTGTGTATATTTTATTTTATATGCGCGTATCGACGACAGTTTCTGTCGGGGTAATGCGTATTAATTATATTAACTGGTAAAATTGGATTTTTTTCATATACACAGTAGTCTTTTAAATTTTAATTATTCCCTCAAAATTATTTTTAATACATTAACGACGTGTTGGAATAGTCATAAGCTTGTAATATATTATAAGAAAACCAGCATCCAACTAGCTTGCTCTGTGCTGAAATGTCGTATATACAAAAGTAACAGCTCGATTATTGAAGTTTCCTTTTTTTCGATCTCGAATGAAATATTATAATATTACCTGTGTGTTTTTTTCACCTAAAATATTACACGATAAATACTACACGATAAATTTTAATTGCATGTTAATCGTTAATCATATTTTTGATTTTTTTTTTTTTATATTTACAATTATATTACTGTAATTGAAGTGCCTAGGTCTAATAAAAAAATAAAAAATGTCATATGAGTCGTCAACTTGTAAAATTAAAAACTGAACTGAAAATAAATAAAAACCTTCTTGTGATAGGATTTAGGGAGACTCGTGCGAACCTGTACGTTTTATAATATGCATGCATAATTTATTAAATGGTGGCGTTATTTTTGGTATCGTTGCGATTCGTTTTTATTGCGGTGTATGAGTAGTAGTAGTTTCAAAAGGCGCAGTGGTAGCTACTACGAATAAAGGCGTCGAGGTTATAATACCAAACAATAGTAATAAAATACAAATATAATATTATAATTGTTTATTCGTTGAACAATTATAATAATGGACGTGTAAAAAACATTCAACAGCAGCAGCTTCGACTATGGGGCAGCCTAACCAAAAAAGTGACGTGGTGACGTTCGAAGGGCGGATGACTGAGTATGGGTAGGATGATGAGTAATCTCCGAGCACAACCCTATTACGGCGCTGCTATGGTGTAAGCTGTAAAGTATTACGGTCGCTTTTTAAGTAGTTCCGTGACATTTGTAATTATTATTTATTATTATGTCCTCTGTATAATCATAACCAATAACGATAAGAATCGACAATTCTTGAGAGAGTGAGTGAGCAGCCACTATAAATTAACTAAATTGAACCAACTCACTCTGCAATACCTATTGGCCATAATCAACGTGTAGAGTTATAAATGTTATAATATTATGTGGTGTACTGCCGCCGGTTTATCGTTGTGTTGGCCTCGTAAAAATGGCCGGAAAATCGACAGGTTATATTGGCATTCGGGCCAATTCGGGGTAATAACGCTGATTTTCGTCGCTATTCTTTCGACCGTGACCGTGATGATTGAGTCTAACGATGATTCTTACTTCTCATTCCGATACTGTACCTCATTATCGTACGTGTTTAAATATAGAAGATACGTAAATATTATCGCCCAACGACTTTAGTTCTGATTGTTAAATAGACATAACTATGGGACTCTTGTTATTCCGCTATCTGCAGTTGATAAAATTATCAGTGAATAGTATATTTTCATCTCGGTCGAGGGATATTCGGAAAATCGTCCAGCCAAACGCATTGACGACATCGTTGTGGAGTGCCGCAGAATGTTTAAATTTAGGACCAATTAGTCTAAAAATTTCCCAGTATTTTTAAAATAACTAGCTACGCTATATGCAATATAATATTATTTAATATTGTCCATACCAAAGTTGACCGTAAGTTCGATTCAATATTTTTAGAGCAATTACATTTAATTTAAAATAATAAAAATAAACAATAATATTTCATGGGATGAAACATGAAAATGTTTGCTGTGTATGCAAAGCTAAAACTATTAATACTGTTAGAAATGTACTATATTAATTAATAATTAATTGTAAGTACGTTTTTTTTTTAAACCTGTTCACAAATTTACACAATACATTATATAATTAATATGTATAATATATTAATTTAATTATTATTAACGGTTTCTAAGTTTTCTGAATAGTATTTTTACATTATAATTTTATGTTCGCTTTAGTTAATCTTAAAATCTTGTTAACTTTTATGTAATAAAAAAAAGAAAAATCCCATATGAATTACAATGAATTGCTAATATTTTGATGATTGATTCCGTTACGGTGATATTGATTTTCTTTGGATTTCCACATTTCCCACCTGATCACGGATGTCGTTATTCATACAGCCGTTTTTTACTGATGGTGGTGAACCGAGGGGAGGAGGCAAAAGGAAACGCATATATTATCATAAGTATAATAACCCGTTTCGTGACATCGCTTGGTGAGACCGCACGCAAGTCTTCGGGTCGATCCGGTTTATCGTTATGATGGCGGCACACACATGTGTACACGTATTATTTAGTAGACGCGGATAAAAAGATACATGCATGTGTGTAAAAAAAAAAAAAAAAAGGGGGAAAAAACGAGTATCCAGGATGAATAATAATAATAATAATAATGGTCGTTGTATTTAATCGGTGGAGCTGCGGCGCAAGAGGGAAAAAACAACCCGTGGACAATGGTGGCATGTTTATTATACATACACTTATTATATATGGACGGACGGGTCGCTTCTTGTTATTGTAATACGTGTTTTATTGTGTTGTATGTATTATAATATATATTTGTGCGTATTTTTTTTTAAACATAAATAGACGCGCACACGTATCGAAAAAGAAACCTCTTCGGCGACAACTAAGAAAATATCAGCCGTTGTCGGGCGTCGAGAAATGTTTATACCTATCACAGGAAT